CCCCAAAACCCCAAAACCCCAAAACCCCGTGATTAAAGATAAGTTTTAACTTTACTATTTTTTCGATAGTGAATCAAGTATAAATGTCTATATTAATTATAGTGATGAACCATTATTAAAGATATGAAAATAAATTCGGTGCTATCAACAGCAGTAGCTATCAATTTGTGGCTTGCAATTTCAAGTGTTAACTGCCAATCAGCAGGATCTCCTAATGTACAAGCTGCTTAAAATGATGAAGAAATATGGAATGTTCTTTCTCTAGACGGTGGTGGTATAAGAGGTATAATTACAGCTACTGTCGTGGATTACATGGAGAAGTACGCTTACACCTACTCCAGTAAATATTGTTTGCCAAAAAGGGAATCTAAAAAGGTGTCCATGGCTGAGTTATTTGATATGGTCAGTGGGACATCTACTGGAAGTCTCCTAGCCTCTTCTCTTGTGCTTCCGAATCCAGATAAAAATTCTCCTTAAATTAACAAATTTTTTGCATCTGATGCTTTAAAGATATACACTGAGTTCGCACCAGAAGTTTTTCAAAAATATTAATTGCCAAGAATTTGGAGAATCGTAGGTTCTTTAGGATTTGCGATTGTCGGAGGAATAATATTCTTTTTTGTGGGATTGAAATTATTGACAGATACTTAATTTGAATCAGCTATCAAAGCTTTTAAGGAATTTGCAAAGGTAAAAAAGTAGAATCATGATAAAACATTGGATGCGTAAGAAATAGTAATGGAAGCAACTCTTTTTATGAATGTATCAATCAAAATCAAAGATATAAAGAATGGAGAGGCACTTAAGAAGTAGATATCAGAAGGGGACTTGGACCAGATATAGAGTGCACGAGAGGAAATCCGTGATCATGAAGCTTAATATCTAGAAAGAAAAGGATTCAAGTATTTGTTCCTAGTTCTTGGATTTTTCTTTTTCGGGGGTATAGGTTATATTTTAATGCCTAAGATGCACGCACTCACTCATTCAAACTATGACAGAAGAGGTATAGAGGGTTTGGTTACCAAACTATTTGGATATGTTCCTATCTAGGATGCTCTTACCCCAGAAGTTTGTATTATTGCCTACGAATACAACACTCATGAACCGAGAATATTCTCTAAATTCACAGCAAAAACAAATCCAGAAACCTTCAACGTATCAATTGGTAATGCCTCTGAAGCATCATCAGCTGCTCCTCTTTACTTTGATCCTAAAGTCATAGGAGATTAAGTACTCATAGATGGTGGTGTGATTGCCAACAATCCATCCCTATATGCGTATCTACATTCAAGATATGCAAATTAAAAAGAAAACATCAGATTTGTCTCTATTGGTACTGGAATGACATTACCAAAACCAATGAAGAAAGAAGAACTTACAAAGGTTGACTGGTTCATGGAAATTGGAAATCTTCTAACTACTGTTGAATAACTAACTCACGAATACCTAATGCGAAAACTGTCCAAGGAAAATTACAGATTCTAAGCCCTTATGGATAGAGATCTGGCTCTTGATTCATATTCAGATGAAAATATAGAGGAACTTACTTCATATGGAGATAAAACTATTTTGAAATATCAAAGTCAAATCTAGGAAGCAGTTAATCGCGTTGTCGATCAAAAGTTCAGTAAAAAGTATTCATGTTCTAAGCCTTGAAATGCTGTTCAATACTGATTTATTTTTGAACTTTGATTTATTTCTTAATCATTTCTTCATCTAATAAAGAAATAACTACGTGGGGTTTTGGGGTTTTGGGGTTTTGGGG